CTGTTGATCAGACTGGAGAGGGACCAGCAGATTGATTGTTTGATTGTAACTGATTGTTTATTCTGGGGGGGAAAAGGAATGGGATATTACACTGTTTTATGATGCATTATAAGAAATACTGTTTGCAGAGAATCATGGCCTTACTTTTCTGATTACAAAGAGAACAGAACATACAGGAGGAGAAAAACAGGAAGCCAAGGTCATGACTTAGGCTCACTGAGAGAGAGAAAGAATGCGAATGCTTAGTTTGGAGGGGGGCCGAAGCTATAAGAATGTGAGAAATGGTCACGTGGACACTTCGAGAGTTTGCCAGACACCCTCCTGTGCATATCTCCCATCCAGACGTTTGTAATGCTTGAAGGGTTTGTATGGAATAATGAGAATTGTATGGATTAAAGAGATTGTTGATTCAGCATTAAACACCGAGTGTTGTTCTTCCTTCAGCCTGAAGGTCAAAGAGTTGGGGATTTGACACAGTGTAAAAATGATGCTAGTACCAACATTTCTACATGTATTTGAATGCCTTCCAGTCATAATTCTCAAACCCTTTTTTAAATCTCTGGTTTCCTTAATCAATTATTTATTTGGAATGGTAAACATCTAACACTGAGGAAAGCTCTTCTTCAAAGACCCAAGCCGGTGGGAGGCTCAGCCCTCGCAATTTCCAGTACTACCATTGGGCCACAAATATCAGGAATGGGCTATTACTCTGTTTTATGATGCATTATATTGGTGACACTACAATCTTGAACTGTCATCACCAGTTTGGGTCACCATGGTTTCTTTATCACTTTCTCGTGCCTAGTAATAATAGAGTAGTCCATCAACCTCTTAGAATTTGGTCCCAGTTTAGGAAGAGCATTGGCCGCCAGGCTTTTTCACTTCAAAGCCCAACTGGAGCAAATTAATTGTTTTTTCCTTCAGTGACGGTGTTCCACATCTGGCACAGAAAGGGTCTAAAATCCTTTGCAGACTTATGTGTAGATGGATAATTTGCAAGTGTTGGCACTGCTGCTCTTCAGTGTTTTTGCTTTTTACAGGTCACACACTATGTGCAGACACTGACAGTACGATTCCCTCAAAACGGACGATCCTGTAGATGATTTTTTTAATTCTCAAACGAACATCAGTTCTTTACTATTTCATTTACAATTTACAATGTTCTCCAGTAGCTTTCATTAAGACTAAATTAGAAAAAGACCTTAACGTTCATATCAGAGATCAACTGTGGCATTCTATCCTTGGCCAAGTCTACAATATATCAGTGTGTGTTCGAAACATGCTTATTCAATTTAAGATCGTGGGGAGCACTGGTCCAGGGCTAAGTTGGTGTGCATATATGCAGAGGTGGACCCAACCTGTAGAAGGTGTAGAGGTGCTCCTGGTACATTGCTTCACATGTACTGGTCCAGTCCTTCACCGGACAC